GATTTGGATTTGGATTGAACCACGTAATAAGGCTAAGAAATTGATGATATCATAAGTGTGAATGGTTAAGGAAAGTACAAATGAAAGTACCCGGTTGGGTATAAGGCCGCTCTTATTTGAGTTGCGGATAAACTGCAAGTCATAATATTCACCCATTCCTTTAATAGTATTATTTTTCAGTATGCTAAAAGTTTATATCGTCGAAAGGTGATAAACAGGCTACCTCAGCCGCAGTTTCGATGTTTTTGGTTTGGGAGGATATTGAAAAGCTAGTTGTCTGGAACCGTCTTAAAGGTGCCTTCCCCAGTGCAGCCGATGCGAAAACAAGCCCGAGAATTAGATAGTTCCTCATCGATGAAAGTCTAACTAGAAAAGTCTCAATGGTTTGGGTTAGCTATTGACTATTAGCGATGACAATTATTGAATCTTAATGCTTTTACTTCATACTCTTGTTAAGTAAGCTGCTTTTTGAAAAGTTTAGCTAGGGAGAAGTAGCTGGTGCAAAAGACGCGGAATCAGCCTTAAATGGTATGCATGCGCTACGTCGAGGGTCTCATACTCGGGTAAACAGTATCAATGATCTGAATATGCATACAATCATTGCTGTAATTAAGTGTTACTCCTTCAAAGCATTATACCGAGAAGACCAGTTCTCGCGCTCTACGAATACATGATCTATTGTTAATAATGTCTCCGGAAGAGTGATACACTTAAATTAGTTGTTAAAGGATGGTCTGAAGTTACTAAAAATTTACGTCCTACCCATCTATAAAATTTGGATGCTTTTTCTCTAGGAAGAAGGTAAAAAGGGAAGTTCTCATTTTTCTTTCATTTTTTTTCTTAAATAATGTGAAATCCGGAGAGGCAGAGATGAAAAGTTGTAAACTAATTTTATCTTTAGTGTTTATTATATGAATCATCTCTAAGCATAGTTTTTGGCCGAAAGATCTTTTTTCAAGGACATATGAGCCCATCTATGGCATTTTTCCCATCTCATATTCCCTCTGTATACTGCTGCTGCTCAGAGAAGTTCTAGGATTTTGTT